TTTCGCTTAACAATATACGAAAAACAGTCATAAATTTACGTTCTCATTTACCTTTTTGAGAACAACTTACTTTACGGGATTATTGGGGATTATCAAGCTTTGTCGCTTTTATTATCTATTCATTTATCGTTTAGTAACAAGTGGATATATAAATTTTGTAAAACCCCTAGCACGAGATATATATAAAAAAGAAATATAATGACCAATCAAATTTACGAACCTGTTTGTAGATCCTTCTAGAACCCGATTTCCAAATTTGGTATATTCCCAGACTGTATTACAAAAATGTCACGTGATGACGGAAATTTTGTACGCACTTACAGTACGTATCGATCTAATAACAGATAAATATCATGTATCAATTGCTTTATTTTACATAAGGTTCTCATAACATGCCTGACGAAAAGAAACTTCCCTGGGGAATCAATACAACAAAGCCTGGCTCTGCAAAGGTACTCTTATAAAAGCGAAAAGTACTTTCTCATGTCTTTTCTATAGGTTTGATTGCTTACAGATCTTTCATTAGACCCTTACGAAAACTAAGCTACAAGCCTTTAGTATTGGTACTCATAAAAAGACTCCTTTTCAAAAGCATAAAGAAGAATTAGAACAGAAAAAAAAGGTATAAAGTCGCTAAGGCTCTTGATTTTTTTTACCTTTTATTAATCTCGCTTTCTTTTTTTTTTTTTTTCTTTTGAATAGCAAGAGTCTGAAGAAGCTGCAAAAGTATATGCTGAATTCGTAGCATCATTTGAAAAAGACGAAGGAGGTGGAAAAACCTTTGTTAAGGGTGAAACTATTGTACCTAAATGTGAGTTCATTTTCTCTAACACTATAAATTTACTTGTTATAGCGTAGTTTACTAATTACTACATAATGCATGCTTGTTAGTATTATTTGATCATGAAGCGATAAATATTAAAAAAGAAACACCTGATCCAACGACTCCACCAAAACTATATAAGCCGCAAGCTTTTGTTCCCGCAGTAGTAACTATTAAACAAGAACCGATTGAGATTAATATAGAGGACATAGAAAAGAATGAAGTTGGTTTATGCAATAAAGTTTCACATCAAGTTATTTGTTTTCTAGTTACAATTTATTAAATTTGATTAATTTATAGGACGAAGAAAAACAAGATGAAAAGTCTAAAAAAAAGCGTAATCTAGATTCGTTCTTGGAAGAAATTAAACGGTTAGTAACCAGGATATTATAATTGTCAATTTACTATTTATTTGAATTTATAAAGTTATATTTATTATGGTAAATAGTGAGCAAGAAGAAAGAGAAGATCGACTGAGGCAAAAACATGCAAAATTAGCCGGTGCAGGTGTTACATCAGGTGTGTTTACTAGTTATGTTTGGACAATAACACATTCTCAATTTTCTTTCTTTCTTTTGGGCGTTTTAGTTTGTACAAATGATTTAGAAACTACTGGTAGCGATGAATTCGTACCTACTTCTCTTACGGTTAAGGCAGGTTAGTTAAGTTCTAACATTTAAAAGTATATATTTTAGACTTTGATCGTGTAATAGAATTTTTCTATACAGCTTTTGAAGACCGACCTGGATCACACGATACCGGTGATCCAAATACGACAAATTTATATGTTGGCAATATAAGTCCTGAGGTAAACTTTTGTTATAATTATTTATTTCTATTTAATTCTTTCTTATTTAGTAAGCATCGTACATCTTGGTTTTCATAGGTTAATGAAGAAATGTTATGTAAAGAGTTTGCAAAATATGGTCCTATAGCTAGTGTGAAGATAATGTGGCCACGTACTCAGGAAGAAAAGGATAGAAACCGTAATTGTGGGTTTGTCAGTTTTATGGATCGTGAATGTGCTGCTATAGCCTTGAAAAATATGGACGGAAGAGAATTGCTTGGCTATGTTATGAGAGTTGGTTGGGGCAAAGCTGTTCCAATTCCACCACAACCTATTTATGGTATAATTTATATATACAGTGTATATATATATATGTTGTTTTTTAAATGAATTACTTCATAATTATTGGGCCGTATACTTTAGTGCTGAATGAAGGTGGGCGGCCACCACCAAGCGGATTGCCTTTTAACGCGCAAATGGTTCATACAAACAGTAAGCATTATAGCATTCGTTCATTCTGTTTATGCAAATATATTTTTGATTTGTTCTTTTTATTGTTATGATTTTATATAGATTATGCTAACGTACCACCGCCTGGCTCGACTCCAGTGAGTAACTCAGATCGTTAATTCTATATTTTATTTATTTTCTCATTATTATTCTAACAGTTCAAAAAAATAAAAAGGCTGTTTTAAAAGGCCCTCGGCTTGAGGTACACGTTGCGCGGCCAGAAGATCCACATATTGTAAAAATAATACATCGTATGGTAGAACGCGTTGTGAAATATGGACCACCGTTCGAGGTGACTAAAAATTGACTATTAAAATCTAATATTTATTACATATATATATTTATTATTATATTACCTTGATAGGCTATCATAATGGATCGTGAATGGAATAATCCCAAATTTGGATTCTTGTTCAATAACGATGTAATGTTTATGTATATCTATACTCATAATAATTGATTTTTATATAAATATTTATCACGAAGTCTTTATATTAATTAGTCTCCTGAACATATATACTATCGCTGGAGATTATATTCTGTTCTCCAAGGCGATTCAAAGAATAAATGGCGCACTGAGGCTTTTCACATGTTTAATGAAGGACCTATATGGGTTCCTCCGGAGATACCTTTTGATGAAGACGTTTGTATTACGATATGTCATACAACCCTTCATTAAACATTGTAGGTTTTGCTTACGTTATTATCTTTGGCAACAGGCAGCGGATGAGCTATTGGACTCCGATGAAGAGGATGAACGAGAGAGGGAGCGTGTTCCAAAAGGGACACTTGGTCCTAAAGCAAAACATCGGTTAGAAGTAATGCTACGGAAATTAACCTATGAAAGAGGCGTTATCGCAAAGGCAATGGCCTTTTCCATTGATCATTCTGACGCGGCTGATGAGGTAAAATATATTACAACTCATTCATATCTTATTTTTCTTAACAACCGTCGCTAATTAAATTTATTCCTTAAAATATAGATAGTAGATATAATCTGCAAAACACTTGTTATTAAGGAAACACCCATTCCAACTAAAGTTGCTCGACTATATTTGGTATCCGACATTCTACATAACAGTAGTGTTTCCGTGCCGAATGCGTGGAAATTCAGGACAGTGTATGTTACATATAATGTACTTGTATATATTATTTCTCTTGTTCAATATAAAATATTGGTTGAAACTGAACATTTCATCTTTATATTAGTTTTGAAAGTAGATTACCGGAAATATTTGAACATTTGAACGAAGTATATAGATCTATTGCGGCCAGATTGAAAGCAGAAACTTTTAGGGTAAGTGACAAAATAAAAATGAAGTTTGTTACAAAGCTTTATGATTAAGTATAATTATATTGTCTTTGTTAACAAAAAAAAATTGCTAAGATAAATACGGCACTATATATCATTTCAACCAAGTTGGCTTTTGAATTGTGGTTTTTTCTTACCTCTATTTTCGTGAAACTTTGATTTTTTTTTAAAAAAATCACACAACAACCTTATAAATTCTTAACAGCGTCAAATCACATCAATTCTCACCGTGTGGGAAAACTGGATTGTTTTTCCCCAACCATATATTGAATCTTTAACAAACACTTTCATGAAGCTTACAAAAGAAGGTGATAAAATTCAAAACTCTTCAATATCACAACCAGTATCACAGCCATCCACCACATCATCATCTGTAAATGGTAGCACGAAAGTTATAGAAATATAAATATAAATAGAAATTCATTTATTTTTAATATTCAAATTGATTGCCAAGTTAACTATTACTTTAATGAATTTATTTTTTAAACAAAATAATATTTTACTAGTTTAAGTATTTAAGCTATGCCAAAATTATTTAGTTGATTGATATACAACGAGATAATTGTTAAAATAGATAGCCAATATTATAATTAAAAACAAAAAAACTTTATTGAATATATATATTTTTTGATATTAATATTTTGATTAAGTAGTTTTGTTTGGTAAATATATACAAAATTTGGTTTATTTTGTATATAATATTTTATAAAATTAAAATTATAGTATATAATATATATTATTAAAGTTAAAAAGCATTATTGTTTTTATAGTAAATTAATATTTATAGTAGTATAGTATACTGTATTATATAATATATTATATTTTTGGTTTAATTGTTAATAGATAGAATTTATCTATATTAAATTATAATATTTTTTAAACTAGATTATTTATTTTTTTTAAAAAAAAACCAAGTAGTCATGCTATTTTTTTTTTTTTTTTTTTCCTTTAATAATCACATACTAAAAGGTTTATTAAATTTTTATGCTTTATCACAAATACATGCTTAGGCAATTCAACAAGGTAATTAGACAAAGGCCAGCTATCTTCTAAAGATGCCCAACCTTGGTTATCACACTGATGTTGGCCACTATACCCCATGTATGGCATGGCGCACTTAAAGATATAGTATAGCCTGGGCTCAGCTCCTACAGTAGTTATGCTATATTTTATTAATAATAGTTATATATACAAATACTAATACTATATCCAATACCTAGTATCTGTAGATAAAAATATAACTTATCCAATTACCATAGCAGTCACATGATTTGGCACACTATATTACATATAAATTTTTTATATATAAAAAATATATAAAATTACTATAAACTTTGCAGCTTTGTTTTTTTTGATCTATATATTAACTTAAAATTAAATTCTACAATTATTTAGAGCATAAAAAGAAGAAATTTTTGGCTTCATTTAATTAGTTATAGCTTTATTATTTTTGTATATTTTAAAAATATAACTTTGCCAAAAATAAAAATTTATTAATTCTAAAGTGATAATTATATATAAATACATACTTTTTCCAATAATCATTTGTACCAAAAATTTCTAAAAAACTTTTACTAGGAAAAAATACAAATAGCTATACTAGACATGATAAAACGTGCGAAAAGAGACCTTAGGACAGCAACTATCATTTAGAGATAGTTCTCATATGCTATTTGCCGATTTTTTTAGAGTTTATTACTTACTGTAGCAACAAGCACGGTATTTGTCATTTAGAGATAGTTCTTATATGCTATCTGCTGACAAGCTCAGAGTTTATCACTCACTGAGAAAACTTTGTAGTGTGCAAGTTTCGGTGTGGCTTTATTTGATTTTAGTAAAAGAAACTCACACTTTTTTATTTTGTGTACAAGTGGTTTTTTTTCCTTTACTTCACTTTTCTGCCACTCTCACAAAAATATCGACAAAAAGTGAGCATTCCAGCTTACTTCTTCCAAAAGATCGGCATTGTTTACACCTTCTATTTTCAGACAGACGAAGTAGAACATAAACACGAGATAGTTTTGACAAAATTAACTTACACCACATGATGAACTAATTAGTGCTTTGGTTAACAAACCGACTCGGACCAGATAGTAAAGTTAGAAGAAATTTAAATAATAAGGCTTAGCTTTACAATAAAGATATACAAGATTTTTAAATTTAGTATATAATTTTTACAACTTGTGCCTAGTATAAGCTATAATAGTACTTTCATAGATTGTCTTTTTTTCTGCCTTTTTCTTCTTGTTTCATTTGTTTCTTTTTTTTTTGTTTTCTTGTTGCTTAGGCAGTTTTTTTATTTTTCTTTTTTGTGTCATTCTCTTTATTTTTTTAGTATTAGTTTTTTTTTCATAAATCAGTTGGAGACTATGAATTCTTCTACTCATGAAGCTAGGAAAAGAAGGTTTAGAAAAGATGGCAGTCTTAATAGGCCGTAAATACCATTCAGTGAAGTATCAAAAAATTCACTTGCAGGGTTTTTTGGTATGAAGATAAACATTTACTATAGCAGATCGAATATAGATATTCACTTGAGAACATACTTCTAACTTCTAAGTAAAGTTGTTCAGAACATGTTTTAACATATATTTATCATTTTAAAATCAAAAAATACTTGATTTTGAAAAAGTTAGATTTTTGTTTTATACAAAATTAGCAAAATTTTAATTTAATTTTTAAGCTTAATTTTTTCTTTTTCTCTTGTTCTATATTCCCCAAAAATTTAATTTAAAGTTAATAAGTTAGATTTAAGAAGATTTTAGCTCAAAGTTACATAGTAAATTTATATATTTTTTTGAAAATTTTACTTATAGACAGCAATGAAAGTGACATGTTTTGAGTCTGTTAGCTATATGCTAAAGATAAAAATTTATGTTTTCTATATATAACTTTTTTTTTTACTTAAATAACTTGCTTTTAGTATAAAATTTTATATTTATATAATTTGCCGGTTTTCATTTTTGTGAATCTTTTACTAAGTAAAAAATGGGGTTAAAGTTAGAAAAAAAAATTTTTCTAAAAAAAAATTTTTTTTCAAACTTTAACTCTATTTTTTATTTAGTAAAAGGTTTGCAAAAACAAAAAAAAAAAGTTATATATAGAAAACATAAATTTTTACTTTTAGCATATAGCTAACTCATTTTTCTATCAAAGTAACCTCTTTAATCTTCTAAGTAAAGTTGTTTAGAGCATATGTTTACATATAATTATTACTTTAGAATTAATAAATTTTTATTTTTGGCAAAGTTATATTTTTAAAATATACAAAAATAATAGAGCTATAACTAATCAAATAAAGCTAAAAATTTCTTCTTTTCATGCTTTAAATAATTGTAGAATTTAATTTTAAGTTAATATGTAGATTGAAAAACATCAAAGCTGCAAAGTTCATAGTAATTTTATATGTTTTTTATTAAATTTCATATATAAAAAATTTACATATAATATAGTGTGACAAATCATATGACTGATACTATATGAATATGATCGCCCACTATACACTAGTTGAAATCAAAAATATTAGTAAAATTTCAGAATCTAATGTATAACTTATATACAACTTGTATGTAATTTAAAGCTAGCTTATATTGGCTTATTAAAAATTATAAAATATAGTCTAATTTTAGGTTATATATAAGCTATATATAAGTCACATATGAGGCCTCCACAGCAGAAGTGAATAGGTCAAAAAATTTTTTTAAAAAAATTCAATATTTGAAAAATTAAATTGATTAGAATAAAAATTATTCTAAAATTAAAGGTAGAGTATATATTGATCATTTATCATATACTTTTGTGGTACAATGAGATTTTATGCATAAAATTACAATATGCTACTAATAAAAGTTTTCAATATTACTGTCAATTTTTACTAAAATTGAGTAATATACAGATTAAATCTTCTATTTATAGTAGTAAAATTTTTATAGGTCATATAATTTTAAAAAAATATACTTTTTTATATAGTTAAATTTGCTAGGAGCTTCAAATTTGCTAAGATTACACAAAGAAACAAATAGTAAAATTAGTACTAAAACAGGTAATTACCCAATCAGAGTTGTGTTTACTATATAAACAGTTATATAAAAAGATCAACAATGCATATCATATGATAATGATTTATGTACACTCTACCTTTAAAACATTCAATTTTTTGGTTCATTCCCTCTGGGAAATCCCAATATCAAATACTAATATTTTACTGATATTTTTGATTTTAACTAGTGATACTGAACTGTATAAATTACAATATTATAATTTGATATATAGAACTTTCTTTTTCAGTATTTAAAATGTAGATAAAATCAACTAACCTAAAAAAAACCAATAGACAAATAGATTACAGAATATTATAATTCTTATTAATTAAAAAATCATTTATTAATATTGCTGTATATCTTAACATTTTAAAAATTATTGAAAAATGAAATCAATAATACTCATTGTTAGAAAAAATAAAAAATTATACTGATTTTATTAGTTAAGACTATAACTTCAACCTGAATTTTTATAGAATTGAAACCAAAAATTATTAGTTTGGAGACTAGTCTATCATTATAAATTAGTCATGATTAATTTTCACAGTATGTATTATATATAGCAAAAAATAAATAATTATCAAATCACAATAATCTCAACTAATCAATAATTAGATTTGTTTTATTCCAAACAAATATTAAAATTTTAATATTATATATATAAAGTTAATTTAAATCAAATCAAAAATATTTGATATATTAACCATATTTAGGACCCTTTTTTTTTAGTTAAATATATATATATATTTTTTTGTTTTTCTCTTTCTTTTTCTAAATAGTTTTGTTTTCTTTCATATATGTGGCATATTTTTTCTTCTCTTATAGATAAACTATTCAGCCCAGATCTAGGTAGAAAAAGTTTAGAAGGAAGGATAGGTAGTCTTGATGAGCCAGTGAGAACTTTTCGGTGAAGATTTATTCTTTACAAGTGCAGTAAAGAATATTTTGAAGAAGAATTCTGCCTATAGCAGATCGCACATGGGTAATTTGAACTCTGGTCACAATAAGCCAGGTGAGCTAATACTTGTAATTTAGGTGGCATTAGAGTTTATACTCTATAAAAATTTTAATATTTCACAGTATAATATTATAAAGTCTAATAAAGTAGAGGCAAGACTGCTGAACTGCTAAAAAAAAAAATATATATTTGATATATTTGATCAAATCAAATTTGAAATCAAATATTATTTTAAAAAAACTTAAACCAATTTCTTCTCACAAACCTTATAGGTAAATAGATTATGCAAAGAATCAAGTAAATCAATAAAAGAAGCTTTTTAAATATTTTAAATAAAACAATGCAATATCTTTTAACAGAATTTGTATCAAAATCTCAAAAACAGATTCCTGAATAAACATAATACTAACT